ACGTTATTGAGGTCGCTTCAACCCGCGGACATGAACAACAACCCCCGGCAACAGTGTTAAAGTAGCCCTATTCCGCGGGAAAACCTCGGACTTGGCAACACTGCTTATGAACCGACCGCAATATAGCGTTTCCTTAGTTACCGCTGTAAACAAAGCAGAGCTGCGCTTTATACGGAGGAGAAGAAAATGTCATTGCCATCGACGGGTTGGCGACCACTGATCTAAAGCAAAAGAGTTGTAAAAATTCTGACAATCTTTTAGAGCTCATGATTTGTTTAAAAAAAAAAACATATTACACATTAATTAATAAATCGGTATATATAAAATTATTTAATTTACAAGCGTCATGTTTGTGATTTTTTCACGTAAGCTATAGCTTCTGACCTTTAAATCAAAACATACTCATGATTTTATGACATCAATTACTGCTTTATTTAATCAGAAACAGTCTAAATGTTATTTGTGTAGGCTATTTTACTTTTAATTTTACTAGAAGTAGACCAACAGCGCCCCCTACAGATTAAAACTCCTTACAGAGCGGGCTTTAGGACCCGGGGGAGCACATGCGAGTTAATGTGTTCCTCTTATCGGCAAGACATATCGGCATAATTTGATTATGAATACTCAGCATATCCCCCAGCTCTACCGAACAGAATTAATCTCGGTCACACTCACCTCCACCTGAAAGCCTAAAACAAACGCCTTCACAAAGTCAGCAGCTCTGGTCAGAGCGCCGATGTCTGACGTTTCTCTGCACGTCTGCAAAACAACAGCGCTTCGCTTCATTCGCTGGAAGTGATCCGGCACTACTTGAGATGATCGTTCCCCACTAATAACACAAGCTATAATAATTGCCGGCACTTACTTTAATCTCCACGTTTCTGGTTTTGAGGTTGAATCGCACCTGGAGCTGCAGATGTTCGACGATGGGTGTGAAAATCTTCATCCAGTTTTCTTTCAGAGGACTGTAACGGTGAGCAGGAACAGCCACCTTGCGCATCTCAACTGCGCCTCCCTGAAACAACAACACCGCTTCACTTCTCAGCTCAGCAGCAATCAAAATACACTAAAGAGCAATGATACGCAAGTGCTATAACCAGTCTCAGTCTGTCTAACGCAGCACACGTAACAAGGTGTTTTTTTTTTTTTTACTTTTATAACTTTTTTCACGTTCGCTCATTAATGAGAAGTCGCTGATCAGACAACACCATGGCTTTAGTTGAAAATGTTAAGTTCTGGTTAAAGGGTGAGAGCCACTTTGTTTAACAAGTTACGTAATCAGATTACTTTTTTAAGTAACTAGTAAAGTAATGCTTTATTTATTTTTTTATTTTTTTATTTAGAAGTAAACATCTGAGTTACTTTTTCGAACAGGTAACTCCAGTTACTTTGTATCCCATGTATTGACCGACAGCTCTCGTCTTGAGAGAACTCGAGAGTAAATACGAACATGCGTTTACTCACCTCACCTGCACAAAAACAGATTCAGCGTTCCTCAAAATGAATAAAAACAGTCAAATGCAAACTCAGAATAATAAACAAACCGGCAATAATTAAATATGTTAAATAAAAAAAGCTGGTCAGAGAGGTCAGATTTAGTTTAACGTTAGCTGGACAGCAAACATGTGAAGAACGAGCCACTTTCATTAGCGTTAGCCGCTTTCTAGAAAACTCCCAACGCCTGGTTGTCATGGCAACAGCGAAGCGGTTTGTTTATAGGGGTTTATACGAATAAAAACAGTCAAATGCAAATTCAGAATAATAAACAAACCTGCAATAATTAAATAAGACAAATATAATGTATGTATTTAAACCCATTCTATCGGTCTTTGTCAGTCACGTGCGTTTGTTATGTGTGACGTCACCGAGGCGCCATTTTGAAGGTATCGTTGCATTGAGCAGTGAACTAAAAGTGTGCAGAGCCGTGCAGTAAAGACCGTCGTCACCTGACAAAGACCGATTAACCAATGTATTTGCTACTGACATTTCGATGATCCAGTTCAACCATGCTAAGCAAAAATCCCACATTTGTGTTTGATTTGTGTTATTGCTGAACTTTCTTCTGCGTCATATTCTTCACGCGATTTGTTTGAGCTGCGCCCTCTACTGTACAGACGTGAATTTACATTTCCTTCAGCCCGAGGCACTTTTGTTGTGAAAGGGCTTTTACTGTATTTGTAAAATAACTTTTTTATATTGAAAAGTAACTCAAAAGTAACGTAACGCATTGCATTCCATAAACCGTAACTAAGTAACGTTAACGCGATATTGTAACGCATTACTTTTCAAAGTAACTTTCCCCAACACTGCTCGAGATTGTGAAAGAATCGTTTCTAACCGGTCTGAACACTTCATTAAAAAGATCCGACTCAAAGTGCACAGTTCCCATCGTTTAGTATCGTACTCAGAATATAATGCTGTGCACAGAGCGCAGGACGGTTACCGTGAGCTGGTCTCCTGATAAGGCCGGGAACTGCGGTCTCTTGGCCGCTACCGTCTCCCCGGGCTGCATATCCACCTCCGCCGCGTCCCGCTTGCGTTTATGACTCCTCTTTGATTTGACTTTCTCAAATGTGTCTGTGTTTCCGTCGCAGCCCATAGTAGCGCTCGCCTCCGCGGGCGTGTTTGACGCCGGCTCCATCGCGAAAGGGATTTTAAATGCTACAGTCGAGCAGAGATGTTTACCACGAACATGTATGTGGCTTCTGCCATGTTACAGGAAGGACCTTATAGCTGCCCAACCAGTGCCAAATGCTACTACTTATTTTAAAAAAATCATATGTTTCCATGCTAGCTGCCAAAATTATTTTAAATCAAGTAATCTTTTTAAAAATATATATTAATTACAACGTTATTATAGTGTATCCGCATGGTAACGATTTGCCGTTGATTTTGCTCAGGCTAGGAGTTGGCCAGCTATGTATTGTGGGAGGGTCCTCGTCGCAATAGGAAACGCACTGTTTGAGCAGCACTACTGTAATCTCTCCTGCTTAAACTGACAGGATTCCGCTGTTTCATTGAGTTGGTCATTAAAGCAGCATGTCAGCGGCGCTCGAGAAGCCCCAGATCATCGCGCACATCCAGAAGAGTCTGAACTACACGGTGTTTGACAGCAGATGGATTCCCTGCAGCGCCAAGTTTGTTTGTATGGGAAACTTCGCCCGAGGAAGCGGAGTCCTGCAGATCTACGAGATCCAGCACGGCGAGCTGCAGCTGGTCAGAGAGGTCAGATTTAGTTCACGTTAGCTGGACAGCAAACATGTGAAGACCGAGCCACTTTCATTAGCGTTAGCCGCTTGCTAGAAAACGCCTAACGCCTGGTTGTCATGGCAACAGCGAAGCGGTTTGTTTATACGGGCCTCATTCTGTCTCCCCCTCAGTGTAAACAATTATAGCCTAAACGAGTTTTCAAATAGCTTTTGAAATGTAATTATTAACAACCCAAAATAAAATGTCTTAAACTTAGTTTAACTGGTCAGTTCAAACTTTAGTCTGTCTTGGGGGCTATTTTTGACAGCAAATAACTTATTAATTAATTAATTATTATTATTTGGCAGTTGTATTGTGCAAATAATATTTATCATGAATTTAATGTTAATTACCAATGATGTGAAACTATTTCCATATTTTGTTCATTCGGTCCTGCAGTGTGATATGTGGTGTTTTATAAATAGGCTGCTGTCCAATGATTAATCGTGATTAATCGCATCCAAAATAAACGTTTTCGTTTACATAATATGTCTGTATACTGTGTATATATATATTTAGAAAATATTTACATGTATCTGCATGTATATATTTGTATTCATATAATTTATATTCTATATAAATATACTTTAAATATATAAACATAACATATACGTGCATGTTTGTGTACATAACAAATATACACAGTACGCATGCATATTATGTAAACAAAACCTTTTATTTTGGATGCAGTATGTTTTATAATCCCGCTCTTTTTTGTCCTTTGTTCCAGATAGAGAAAGCCAAGCCGATCAAGTGCGGGACGTTTGGAGCCACATCTCTCCAGCAGAGGCATCTGGCCACGGGGGACTTTGACGGCAGCCTGGATGTTTGGTAGGATAACGTTTGGTTGCTTCGTGGGTTTCGTCCGTGTTTCCGGCAGACGGCTGCAGTGATCTGAGATCAAAGCTTGCTCTGCAGGAATCTGGAGGTGCCGGAGAGCCCGGTGTACTCGGTGAAGGCACACAAGGAGATCATCAACAGCATTGATGGAGTGGGGGGACTGGGCATCGGTGACGGGGCCCCTGAGATCGTCACTGGGAGCCGAGATGGTGACTAGACTAGACTTACTTTGCACATCGCTTTTGAAAACGGGACCACTTTTGATCACACATACATGGACAGTGTACTTTATTTGACTAGGAACTGACACATTATTATTCATTCTTTCTATGGTGTTTAATGCAGTACAGGTAGTTTCAATGCAGCCGAGTCCAGCTCCAGTCAGTTCAGTTCAATAAATGTGGAAAGTTCATTTATTATGAAACAAATTCATTTCAGCTAGAAGCAGCTCTGCAGGAGACCGTGAAGTCATCATCCAGCTCAGTTCACACTGTGTTTGTTCTCATCTGATAATGATAATTTAATAATCACGTGTATGTGTGTGTGTGGTTTTATTAACAGGCACAGTCAAAGTGTGGGACTCCAGGCAGAAAGACACGCCTGTGGTGAACATGGAGCCCGTGGAGGGAGAAACCAAGAGAGACTGCTGGACCGTTGCTTTCGGTGGGTGTTTTTGTGACTCGTATTGGAGGTGTCCCATTAAAGCATAATGGGAATAAAGACTCTCATTCTGAGTTCTCATGGTCATGCAAAATCTCAGAATATCATGAGGGCTTTTCATAGTGTGCTTAACCCTGGGTTAGCGTCGTTCTGAACCCTTTTCTATAGTCTGAAAAGTTAATTCAAGGAAAAACGTGACAGCACATAACATTGGATGCGCAATGCTAGAGCTGTTACAGAAACAGGTCAATGACACCGACAGGGCAAATAAGCACGTTAACCCAGGTTTGAGGAATGTGCAGCTTATGAATACCCAGGATGCATTGTTAACCAAAGGTATATTATGAGCAGTGTGAAACATGAAGCGGGATGACCCTGGATTCTGTGTCCCCGGGGTTTAGCGTGACCCAGGGTTAACTATTTCAAATGTGAAAAGCCCTACTGTATTTAAAAACAGTCATTTCCAGGCCTTTAAACATCATTGGAAATAATACAATTCTAAAACAACTGCATTTAATGCCCTTTGTGAATGCAGTCTCTATAAGCCTAATTTGATAAAACAACTGGAAAGTAGGGCTGTGCGATATGGACAAAAAAAACCTATCGCGTTTTCTTTGATCAATTTTGCGATTTCGATTTTAATCACGATTTTGACGCACAGAGACATGCTTTACAGTCATTAAATCATTCAGTGTGAATTTGAAACATATTTCCAAAAGAAAACCAATTAGAGCTTTATCAAAAAGCTGTAACATGTCTGTAGAACAGACATAAGGCAAAATAATCACTAAAGTAAATGTGTAACAAAATGTCTCTAGAATAGACATATGGCAGAAAAAAAAATCCCGTGTCCAGGGATTTTTTTTGCCATGCATTGGTCATAGAGCTCTTCGTGGCGTTGCCT